GTGTGTAACGGGTGATTGATCTGTTTACACTCATAAATCAGTGAGGCAAAGCGCTGCAGTGCACTCCCTCTTCTATATGGAGTTGTGACCTAACAGCCAGCTAGATAAAACTCCCTTGTAGATCTATTTCTCCCACTCCCAAAATCTCCAGAAATGTTGCAAGGGCCACCTTGTCTGACCAACACAAGCCTGACGCTACCTACACACAACGCTACTCAAATGGATCCATGTTCTTGCTTTAGGGGAAGCAGGGCACGACAGAGTGACGAGTGCCATGGGTTGCAACCGACTTCTCAGCCTGTCATAACCAAGTTGTCAGACGTGTGAGGCCGGACAGCCAGGCAGGGTTCTGCTGCCACGTTTGGGATTTGCAGCTATCAGCAGGAGAGATCTGCACTGCAGAGGCTGCAGGGGGAGGGAGGAGAACAGACGTAGAAGTGAGGCTGGTTGGGAATTGGCGGGGGGGTGGGAATGGGCTTGAAGGGTGGAGAAGAGCTTAAAAAATAGACTAGCTAGTGGGAAAAAAAACAATCTGAAGATCTTCTAGTGTGCTCCTATGAACAAGTAACAAGTATGCTAAAATAAAGCAAACTGATAAGTGAGGATGTAGGATAAATAGATATCTGCAACACATTTTGCCTGAGGAAACCTGAGGGACCGATGCAAGTTTGCGCAAGTGGAATTCTTTGTTAAGGAAGGAGAAAATGTCCAGCAGGGCTAAAATAAAATTTCCCTGTGCATAGTAAATCTAGAGAAGTTCTGATTTATAGAAACAGCTGAGAATAGATACGTGAAGAGAAGGAAAAACCATACAGAGCTGTCAGAGTCTTACTTTCAAGCCAAACACACTCAACCTGTCTCCAGGGATTCCACAGCTTCCTATTATGATTGATTTAGGTGCGTTTGGACACAAAGTGGTTCAGATACATGAAGCTGTTGAGTTAAAGATCTCTGTTAATACAGCAATGAAAGGTTTTAACCACATTTAGACCTGCTGTACATTCCCAAATACTCGTTTATGAGCTTAGACAATTTGTTCCCACTAGTATTCCACACATACAGTATCCTTGGTGTCACCTTGATAGGAAATGTGTTTATGCACTGATGAGTTCAAAAGATCACAGTTAACAATTTAGCTGTTACATCATTTTTCAAGCCTTTTATTTACAATTAATTGATTCAAATGGCATTACCGGCAAAGCCTCCTTTTTTTTTTTTTGCTCTGCCAGTCCAGCCATGCAGCTCCATCACACTAATTAGTTCATCCTTACTCCATATTGTTCATCAACAGCACTCACAGTTGGTATGATATGATTAGTCACAGTTGGTGTCAGTGTGAAGTGCATCAGCTTGTGTTTCTGTGATATCAAATAGCAAAAGCATTGAGCAACAATACTGAGTTTTATTACATTTCTCACATTGCAACAACAAACCAGTGTCTCTCCAGCCCCTCGAGCCTCTTGGTCGTGTCTCTCTTTGTTTTGCAAGGCACTAACTATGTAATAACAGCTGGGAAGCTAATCAGAGGAGCTCCATAAAAGCAATACAAAATGCTAACTTATATTTTGCTTCCCTGTCAGGGTGACTTGAACATCTGGTACAGGATGATCAATATTGTTTTCCTGCCGTTTTTATTGCCACGTCACTGGAAAGGGCCTGCTCGGACCCTGAGCGGGCCTGGGGGCTGATTGGATTGGCTGAAGGTTGCATTTGAGAGATTAAGCCTTGGTGCATTATAGAATGGTAGGCAGGAGCAGCAGGATGTGGGACTGGTTCCCAGGAAAGACAAAAACTGGGCAGCACAGACATGAGATGACCTTCAGAAGAAGACAAAGAGGCTTGGAGCTCAGAATAGAGAAACTTAACTCTCATCCTTTTGCACCACATGTATAGACATCCATATTTCTCTTTCTTCATTTGTCAAGGTTTTACTGATTCATCATGTCACAACAAAAACAGACTGTGATTTTGAATTAGGTGTTACTGGTAGCAAAAATGCTCTTGGTGCTTTCATTCCAGACACACTGATTGGATACAAAATCATTTTATTGTATTTTTTTTGTTTTGTTCTGGCAGCAATACACAAGCAAATTTGAAATACGCTTGCATACATTATGTAGCCTGAGGGTGGGGATGGGGGGGGGCAGAGAATTAGCATTAGAGCTTATAGAGGGAGTTAATTTGTGATGAGATCACCTGGCAAGGTCAGCTGTTCTCAGGAGAATGAGCCGCTTCATTGGGCATGATGGATGACGACTTATGCAGCTCCCTTAAAACATCTCAGCAATGTGCTTAAACAAAAAAAAATAAAAACTCAAGTGCATTTGGTTTCACAGATTAGATTGATGCAGATTTTTTTTTCTTACTTTTGCAGCTTTCCAATAAGGTTTATATTTGTCAACTGAGATTGCCATTGCAGAAGGTTAATCTTGTGCTTTCCGTAAGTTTTGGATCATTATCCTTTTCAAAGATCCAATCATGAATGATTTTCAGTTTTCAAGCAGATGGCAAATGGTTCTTAATTAAAATATTGCTGTACTTTGAGGGTAGTTCATGATCCCATGCACTCTAATACTTTTGAAAAAAAGAGCAGACCCTCAGCATCACAGGTTCTCTACCATACTTAACTGTGGCGATCATGTGTTTATTCATCCTTTGCTTCACATCCACCTGGAGTGTTTAGAATCTGACCAAAGTAAGGGTAATATAAAGTTGGACTAATAATTGTCAATTGATTTATTGTCAGAATAATATAAATAATCAGCTACTATAATAATTATTATCTTAACATCTTAGTTGCATCTAGACATCTAAAAATATGCTGTTTTTATGACAGTTATGCACAAATTCAAAGCAGTTTTTTTTCATTGTTCTGTCCCAAATAACTTCTTCATATGGAGAGGTTCTAATGGTTTTTATGCAGATTTTGCACATCCAACATGTACTTGATTTATAGCATCGAAACAACAATAGCATGTTAAAAACAATACTTTTTCTCACAGAATAAATTTAAAGCTTAAAATAAGCTACTTGCTTTTAAGTGCGAAGTTATCCCAACAACAGATACATTTGCTTTGATGCTTTTTTTTATTGATGTTTTGCAGTGGCTCCAGTGTGTGGCAGCTGCCTCCAACTGGACAAGCAGCTAAAAGCAAAGGCTTAGTTGAATGTCCTGTTCCTTCTGCACAAAATACCATTTTTACGGCATTGCGCTCGTGTAAGTTAGAATCATTCTTATCTCACTGAAGCTTGTTTAAGTGTGTTCGGTATTTCAGTCAGGTGCACACAGCAGAGATGAATCAGCTTATTGTCTCCTGCGGCTCTTCATCACACTTTAAACCCTTTCAGGAACATACTCCATTTTAACGTTTTGGAAGGCGGCCATAGAATTCATTTGAATAGAAAGTTTTGATGTGGATAATGTGACACAATTGTGAAGAAAATAAAAGCGAGAGCGTGTTCATAGGGGCTTCCCTGCTATGCAACTCCTGGCCTAATTCCAAGCGACATTTCTTTGCTGAGATGTACCAAAACCTGGATGTGCATGACGAAGCCCTATGCTGTTACAGTTTAGGGTTTATGGAGACGTTTTTGCATGTCCACTTGCAGGTTGAAGTTGCTTGCACAGTCAGACATGGGCAGTGGATTTGAACATTCCTCTCTGAAGATTTTTTTTTTATACCATATAATGGTGGATTTTACATTCTTTTGAAATCCCATTATAGACTCATAAGATACTACTATCCTCCAGGGCTTCAGAGGATACTAGTACTCTTTTGACCACACCATGGTCTCTTTCAACAGTCAGGACTTACTTCAATCTTTATTTTTGTTAATATTTTTAGGAAGACGTGCAGGCTGTCTTTTGGGGTCCATAATTTTCTTTCCATAACTGTTTTTATTTGTATTTTTTTTACTTTGTTTACATTCTTTTCTTTACAAATACTATTCCTCAACTATAGCAGAACTGCTTAAAAGAGGCTCACAGTTGCAGATCTGTAAGCTATTTTAAAGGATAAATGCAATGAAATAATCTAGGTAAGCAGATCTGAAGTAGCAGAGTGTGTGTGTGTGTGTGTGTGTGTGCGTGCGTGCGTGCGTGCGTGTGTGTGTGTGTGTGTGTGTTGGATGATAGACACCAGGATTTATTGAAGACATATGGAGGCTGTTACGTTTTTTGACAGAAAATGGAAAAGTTAAAAGGTGCTGTGTGTGCATGTGTCATTGTTGGCTTGTACAAACACACATGCGCCCCCGCCCCTACCGTATACAGGAGAGGAGGTTTTGGATTAGATATCAGATCTGTCCTCTTTTGTCCTCTGTTTGGCTGATGCCTGTCAGGCTTGATTATCATATTTTTAACTCAGACGTTTGATTACTTTCAAGTTCATATAAACCACGGAAGTAGCTATTCTTATCGGGAAAGACGTAATAGTGAATGGTGCAGGACACACACAATTAACACCTCTTCTTCTAGTTTGACTGCAAGAATAACTGCAACTATAACCGTTTGTATTAACTTCCTTTTAAAACTCATATTTTCACGTTTTGTCAAGTTTTACCTACAAACTATAAAGCCTTTTATTGTGATTTTTATGTGACATTCCAACATAAGGTACTTCGTAATTGTTCAGTACAAGGAAAGTGATGAATTGTTTTCTTTTTATTTTGCTGATAAACATCTGGAAGTTGTGCGATGCATATGTATTCATTGACGTCACGTGAAATAAAATCTGGGCAACTAAATGCCTGCCAACAACCCCTTTATAGTAAATAGAGTCCTGTATGTAATTTGATCTCATTTTATATGTAGCTGTTCATGTGGTCAGATGGGAACACAATTGAACTTTGTGGCACACATTTCAAAATGTGTTAGAAAATGTGCATTTCTTCAGCAGGAATGGGAAACTCATTGAAGATAAGGGTTGCAGCGTTACAAATTGTTGAAAATGTCCACATGATTGTTTAACTTCTTTCTTCTTACGTTTGTCCGTCCACAGGAGAAGACCGGACCAGAGAGAATGTGGTGGGCTCCACAGACGCACAGTCGGCCAGTGCAGCTGGCGGAGAGTCCGGCACCAGCAGGCGGAGGCTACACTGTTGCGTCAGAGTAACAGCCGTGCAGGTGCGGAAGGCCCTGTGGGGGGTCGCCATGGTGATGTGCGTGTGCTCGTCCTGGGCGGGTTCCACCCAGCTGGCCAAGCTGACCTTTAAGCAGTTTGATGCCCCCTTCACGCTCACCTGGTTCGCCACCACCTGGAACTGCCTCTTCTTCCCAGTCTACTACGTCGGCCATTTGTGCAAGAGTCCTGAGAGGCAGACGCCCAGGCAGAGATTGAGGTTGGAAGAATTGCCCTCTGTCAGCAAAAAGAAAAAAAAAAACAACAAAAAAAAACGAGTAAACATAATATCCAAATTTCAAAACTTGTGTGCCAATTTCTGCTTGCCTGAAGCAAAGTTTGAACCCCTACAGCAGGGGTTCCCAAACATTTCCATCCCACTGCCCCAGACTTCACTTCATAGCTGAGTTGACTACAGAGGTTTCATGATTTGACATAGGTATTTTACAGGTTGCATTTATTTTACATTGCCACACTGAAAGACGCGTATTATTTTCCAGATATTTGTAGAAGCAGTCTGTATACGTAGGTGATGGATGATTTTAGTCATGGAGGTGATCGCATCATTTGAATTCACTGAGTTTTGGATGGCTGAACCAGTGCTTTATGGCCAAACTTTGTGTTTTAGCTAACAAACAAGCATTCTGTTCCTGTACAAGAAGTAGCTCAGCTCTGCCGTATATAAACCAGCGTCTTTATCATATTGTAGTCCAACTGGCAATATAATCTGTCATCTCTATATTCCCAGTTGGCTGACTTTAGAGATCAAGATGCTTGTTGAAAGAGGCATTAGATCTGTACGTCCGACACAGCTTTATGATGTAAATCTTCCTTGTGGGAATGCAACCTCTCAACTGGAGCTGATCTGCTCTGACTGTGAAGTGTTTCATCTGCTTAGGTTTCCTCTCAGACCATTAACAGAAACATGGGCACGACATGTAGGACAAACACAGTTCAAAGCTAGATAAATAATAATAATAATAATAAAAAACAATCTAATCTTTAAATCCAAATTTTGATTAATTGAAATTTGATGAGGTCTCACTCTGCATTGCTTTTAGAAACTACACCTGAAATACGATCACTTACTAGAGAGAAATGTTTTAATTAGATTTGCGCACGTGTTTATCAAGATATCATTGCACAACGTAAGTTGATCAGTTTGTAAAAGAAGATTAAATTAGATGTGTACAATTAGCAATGATCAAATACGCAGCTAAGCGCTTCTCTACGATACCTGCTGTGGTATAATAAATGCCCCTGTTTTGTCTTTTATCAAGAGCCAATTAGCAATCTTTTAACATGTTGATTGAAGCAGCCTTTGCTGTTTGCAATCCGCTAACACAGAGGTCAAAAATTTGCAAAGAAATTGAAAGTGCAGAAGGCACATTAGGTTGAAAAGAAGCGAACAATGAAACATGAAGGATTGCAAGAAGCTTAGAGGCCGCAGGTGTTTTGAGACTCCACTATTTCTTTTATTATCCCCATGTTCTGACTCTACTTCATCTTCTCTGATTTTATCCTTTTATATGCAGCGCTTTGAGGAAAGTCCAAAAAACGCTGAGCTTAATATTGTCGTTAAAGGTTGTTTTAGATTTCTTTATGGAAATGTGCACAGTGCAATAACTTATTCCTGTGGCATTTCAAATAAATGAACACAATGGATTCGAGCTATTTCCACACAGGATTTGCCCCAGTTCCACGCATACAAGTGAAAGCAATATTTCATGTGTGTGTGCAAAAATATGAATCCATATTAAATTTCTTTCCATAAATCTTGATGTACCAGACATCATTTGATTTGCCGCTTACTCTAAATTGGCAACTCAAGCTTAGAGGCACATTTTTAATATATACATTTCTACCAAAATCCAGAGATTTTGTTTATGCCAGAAATAAGATTTTCCACAGGTATGGATATTTAGAGTCACCACATAAGATTATTTGCCATCTTATAAAACAAACCATGCAGTTGAAGGATGGAGTGTAGACTTTGCCTCAGATGTTGGACCTTCATCCAAACACTTCTGGAGGTGTTTTTTATCAAAAACTAAACATGATGATGAAAGTCAGCTTTTTTGTGGTAAGAAACTTCTTCCTCTTATCAAATTCATTTTTATTTGTTTTTAATGATCTGTAGCCCATCCAGCCCAAGTTGTAGCTAAAACTAACATATGTTAACTCCTTAGACAATTATATCTGCGAACTTGAAAACAGAGGTGACTCCTACGAACTGGTACAGCCTCAAACTCTTTGTGATGAAAATCTAGAAAGTAAGACCTGCATTTGTATTTTGCTCCATTTTCGATTGCAGGTCTTTGGCTGCATGTCTCAACTAGATTTGAACATCTGGACACTGATTTTTTTTCTTTATTTATTTTTTTTTTCTTCAATTCGTCTTTGCAAAATAACTAAAACTAATTCAGACTGGCGGTAAACATTATTTTAAAAGTCTTGCCAAAGATCCTCATTGGGATTTAAGACTGGGCTTTGACTGGACCACTCAGAATCACAAACATGATTTAACCTAACCCAACTGTAAGGTTTTGGGACACAGTATCTCAAAGTTATTGAGAAATCTCTTTATTTTGAGATTAAATAAAGAATAAAACGAATCTTTGATCCTGTTCGTGCCCTAAATGTAACGAGAGTCTAAAAAGCTAATTGGATAAAGCAAACAATATGTTTGCTGTAGATGATGTTTATGTAAGTATAATTCTGCTTTTTAAATGACTTCACAACAGTCATTTAAACAGGACCTCACTACGCTGGGGGTTGAGTCACAAAACTCTTCCAATTTATTCACAGTGACAGGAGAAAACGAATCGCTTTGTGGCTTTTGGCAGATCTTATTGTATTTCTAAATGTTTACTTATTTCTCCCTTACACAGTATGATGTGGGACAAAAATCAGTTTGATCAAACTGCTGAGGTGGGAATTGCTATGCACACTCATTGCAGATAAGTTTTTAGGCTACAGTGTGATGAGACCATTTTTTTTTTCATTTGCATAAATCTTAACCTCAGTTCCAAAGTAGTACTACAGTGCTCTACATTTTGCATTTCTACACAGGGAGTGCTGCAGGTTTTTTGGGGACGAGGGCCTGACCCCCAAGGTGTTCTTCACCAAGGTCGCTCCCTTCGGCCTGCTGTGGATCCTCACCAACTACCTGTACCTGCAGGCCCTCAGGAAGATTAACACAACAGATGTTTCAGCGCTTTTCTGCTGTAACAAAGCCTTCGTCTTTCTGCTGTCCTGGATTGTACTCAGAGACCGCTTCATGGGGGTCAGGGTGAGTGTATTTGATGTTTTCTCATGTGAGAAAACAAGAGAAAACATATTTGTATCAGAAGATGACTGAAAAAGGAAGCTGCAGCATTTCATCGTTTTTAAAGTTTTTTTTTTTTTTTTTTTTTTTTAATTGTCGTAAAAGTGACTCTTTGATGTAAGGAGTGACTCACAAAATTCCCCAAAAATGCTTGAGCTATTTTTACATCAGAATCCATTGTCTCCTGGAATCTACTGAGTCAAGTGATCCTAATCTTTTAATTTAGTGTTTCCTGGTTTTTATCTTGCAAAATAATGTTTTTCACGGATTTGTATTAATACCAAATCATAATATGTGTAGTCAAAAATAGAGAAAGCAATTGGTTTATCTTACTTATGGTTAGCACAGATAAACATGTTCTTCTAGATTAAATCTTTTTCATGATGCTTAGAGAAGAGACGTGGAATTATATTCACAGCATAAAAATTTGCAGCTCCTCTCTTCTCCTTCTTCACATCTTTGTGCTCCAGGCTAACAGAGCTGTGGAAAATATTTTGCCCTTTACAAATTTCTTGAGTTTTATTTGTCACACCTAAGTAGTTAGATTAACAAGCAGATTGTAATAATAAAGGTAACAAGAGTAAATATAAAAAGCAGTTTTTAAATAATTATTTCATTTATAAAGAGAAAAACGATCTCCAAGCCAATATGGCTCTGTGTAAAAAATGTATGTTTTTGGTTCAATTTCATAAGTCTAACTACATCCCGTTTACTGTCTGAATTGTAATTTACTTACTCAAATAGAACTTGTCTGACAACATGGAGTAGAAAGAATGTAGATCTCAAAAAGTAACACATCATGTCTCGATCTAAAAGAACAATCAAGAACAAAGTTATTGACATTTGTCAGTATGAAAAGGTTTACAAAGCCATTTCTAAGGCTCTGGGACTGCAGCAAACAACAGTGAGAGCTACTATTCACAAATGCAGAATTCATGGAGCCATAATAAAACATGTTTCAGGAACAGCCGATCTAGTAAAATTATTCAAAGAGCGCATCAATGACTCATACAGGAGGTCGCAGTTATAACCCAGACAACTTCTAAATAATTGCAAGCCTCACCTGTTACACTTGAGGTCATCATCCAAGTCAACACTTAGAAAGAAGCCATTGCTGCCCAAAACGAACAGGAAAGCCCTTCTCATAGTTGCCAAACGTTAATTAATGGAACCACAAATTCATTCCAGAATATTCTGAAGGAAAGTGTCAAACCATCAGTTCAGGATCTTAAGATTAAAACAAGCACAAAGTTTGGACTTGAATCTAATTAAGATATTGTAGCATGACGTCGATTATTCACTTCTTTCTTGAAAACGTTCCGGTGGGGCTGAATTAAAGTGATTCTGCAAAGAAGAGAGCCCCAACATTCACTTCACAGTGATGTACACCAACCATTGCTAGAAAACCCTTGATGGCAGTAGCTGCTGCCATGGGTGGCACAAATAGTTTTTAGCTTTAGAAGAGCAATTACATTTTGATATAGGATACAGGACCATCTAACCCTAACCTTTTTTTTCCCTCCCTTTCTGAAATAATTAAAAAATAGCTTTGTGTATTTAATCAGGTTATCTTTGTCTGATGATAAAATTAGTGTTAATGGAAACACTTATGAAAGCAGAAGAAATCTGTAAAACACATATTCCACTATATATTCATGTTCAGTTGTGAGAAAGGGAGTTTAGCCTTGCGATGCGTTTGTTTCATTTACATCACAAGTAAAGGCACTAGAGGACAACCGGATGACCTTCAGTGGACGATCAGCTTCTATTTGTCCCTCTCTGAGCTTTTGTACAATATAAATGAGAACACATTTTATCTTAGCTCTAATTGGAGGCAAAATTAAGATTTTGCCTCCAATGAAGCAAATAACTCTTAAGGCTCTTACTTGGCTGTATGAGTTAAATAAACAGTACTGGAGAGTAGAATGACAGCATGTTCAGTTCACCAATGATCCTGTCTAATTTAATCATGTCTTGCCTGGACAAGAAGAGACAAACAGAAAAGTAAGGGTTGAAGAGTGAAGCGTGTCCTTCTCTTTTCCCACTGCATGCTCCTAAACCGCTCACCTCTGCAGACCTTATGCACCCTGCAGAAAGGATTGCCCTTATTTCAATTTTTTCCAAACCCTGACAAACCACCCTATCATTCCCTCATGCGTTCCCCTACTCCCTACTGCCATTATTTGTAATGAAAAGCATCAGTAAGGCAACAGTAAGAATGCTGCTTGACTGCCTCTTGTACGTCCTCTCGCTCTGTTGCTTGGCGGTGGAGACTGCAGTGTGTGGAAAGTCTGCGGCAATGCGGGGGATCTACAATGGGTTTGTCACAGAAGAAAGAGAACGATGGAGTGTGCTAAAATGGCCTTGTTTAACAGATGTTAGCAATATGTCGGTGTTATTGTGTCCCTAAAGATATGATAGTAGTCTGTTACCTTCATTTGTGGCAGCAGTGGAGTCACATGTCAGTGTTGTTGCAATATGAAAGATTCATGGGGACCTTTTATGTGAGTTGTGTTTGGGTTTATGTCTTGGAAGGCCGATTTTGTTCATTGTTCACTTACACAGTAACTTGCAAAAGTATTCATAGGAAGTGTTAAGAAATTCACACGAAAGCGGAAATTGAAATGCACGAGTGTATACTTGTGCATGCACCTTACTGTTCTGACCCACACTGATGAAAGATGCCTTAACACTCCAAGGCATTTTGTGCAACATTAGATTGTACTAATAATGTTGAGATTGCTCGAATGCAATCATTGTGCTGTGAGACATTTTTTATTTTTTTTAAATGGACTTTCTCCTCAAATTTATTAGTTCTTTCCTGTGAGGGTAATACCTATGTTTCCCTTTTTGACGAAGTACAGATCTCAGACCTCGAAGAAATACTCTCTTCCAGACCGTAGTATTCGGATCCGGCATGTTATGAATTCCCTGTCCTCTGAGGAATTAAACAAAACCTCTTGAAAGAATAACAGAATCATTTTTTTCCCCCCAACAGTTATCCAATGCAGATATGATAAAAACACTTTCTTCTGTGTGGGTTAGAGCTTAGTCACACTGATGAACAGATGGTAGGAAAATAGATTTTCCTACCAGAGGAATAAGTAAACATTCAAGGAACTTCTGCCCCGAGAGACCTGAATCAACCTGGAACAAAAAGCCCAAGCTGGTTCTGAGAAAATAAGCAGCCTCTAAGAAGCCTGGAGAGTCTCTCCATCTTGTCTGATGATGAGGCTGTCTTTTGGCACCCAACCTGACTTTATTAGGATCCTCTCGTGAATTCTTCCAAACTTTTCTTCGGAGACCTGACAGGTGTATAGAAGTCCAAACTATGCACAACTTCTTTGTGTCTATATGTAAACGTTTCAGGTTCACTCCTGGGGCCCTTTCAGTTTAATATCTACTTGCTCTCGCTAGCTCAGATTATAGCAAGTGATAATATTAGTTACCTTAGCTAAACTACAGTGTCAACAGATGGGATTTGAACCCAGGACCTTCTTCCTGTAAGGCAACAATGGTGACAACTGTGCCTCCATACAACTCCAGGCATTCTACACTTTTGAAACTTTATTTCTAACTTAATTAGGACAAAATACTTTCCTTTCACTTTGCAATTTTGGTCTAACTTGTGCTGGTCTGTCAGATAAACACGCATTATTTTGTGTTTGTAACTCTCCAAGGAATATAAATGCTCTTGCAAATTACTGTCTTATGTAGCCATATCCAATACTGTATGTGCCCGTAAAGGTAAAGTCTTGCTTGCTTTTTTTTTTTTTTTTTTTTTGGGCTTTTTACAAAAAACTTTTGCTGAAACATCTTTCATAGTTGCTGATCCGGCAGGCAAACTGGCGTTTACTAAAATGAAACGTACTGCTGTGACTGACAGGCAGCCTGCAGTGCGGGAAGAGCAATTTTGCCAAAAGAGAAAAAAAAAAAAGTGGCTCGGGGCTACGGCCAAGCAAAAACACACTCTTCATTTATCTTCCTGACACCTTCTTAACGCAAGAGCTAATCCACTCAGCTGGGCTCCACCGTGTGCCCAGCTCCGACTCCTGCTTTTTGTTCAGCTCCAGGATGAAAACAAAACATGTGACAGACACAAATGAGTGATGCTTATTTGGGTACATCCAGGCCGACTGCGAGCGAGATGAAACAGATGATCTGGTGTCATTCTTGGAGGCATGTTAATCATAAAGGCAGGGAGTGGGAGAAGTGTAGTGGGGGACTGCCTGATCGTGGCGGCGTGTTTGGTTTGTAATCACTCTGGCAGTGCAGTGGAAATCAATGTCAGCGCTGTAGAAGCTGCTGCTTGTGTACTTGAAAGCTCTCGCACTGCGAACCCAAGAATCTGAGAAGCGTGACTGTTAGGATTTAGAAGAACGTGAGTCAAAAATCAGATACTTTCTGCAAACAAACCGCAACTCAGGCCTTATTAGATTTTTTTTTTTGCATACCCTTGTGGGGGCATTCTCTCAAAGATAAAGAGCAGGTGAAACCTTCTGGGGCCCCAAACTGCAGTAAAAAATTCATTATCATAATTACTAAACTAGATAACGTGTCGCCCATCCGTAACTCACTGCTGCTCTGTCTCTCCACAGATAGTAGCAGCTATCTTGGCCATAGCAGGCATCGTCATGATGACCTACGCTGATGGGTTTCACAGCCACTCAGTCATCGGCATCACTCTGGTCGTGGCATCTGCTTCAATGTCAGCGCTCTACAAGGTAGACTCTGTTTTCATTCAATCAAAGCACAGATTCACCGAGTCGAAAGGCTTTTATTGATATATTTGGCCTCAACGGAGCAAACATTCAAAACGGCTTTGCATATTCCGTCTGGCTTATTTATGAAATCCTCCTTAGGTGGCAGAAGAGAGGAAAAGATTATAGTGTAAAAGCCTCATGATAAATTCAGTCTTTATTGCAGTAACAACATCTCACTCAGAAATCTAGCAAAATCCAAATGTAGTTCATTCATTTAGAGGGAGGAAAGAAATCCATGTTATTAATAGCTTTTAATAAAAGCAACACTGGCACAACTATTGATACCCGTGATGACAAAGCCTAAAAAATGAACAGAACTGAAGAACTGTTTCTAATCTTGCCCTGCTTTTGTAATTCAATGAGAGCTTAGGTACCTGTAATTAGTCTTGACTCTTTCCTTGGGGTATAAATATTACATGACACAGAGACCCATTTCTTTTAGCCACCGGCCACAAGGCCAGATTAGGACCTCAATGTATTTTTAACCACACACAGTGAGTCAGATGGTAAAAGAGGTACAGAGCAATAGCGTAGGTCACCTAGTCTCAAAAATTGGACTCTAAATGCATGCCACCTGGTTATTTAGGAGTCAAAACAGAAAAAAAAATGAATAAATACAAATATTTTCACACATTCAAACTTTCAATCTTTTAACTTGAACTTCGAGCTTTGATTAGATGAGACTAAGATTGAGCCATGAATAAAATGACACATGATGCCCAATGCTAAGCATGGTGGAGGATGCTTAATACTCTCGGCATGTTTTTTTCTCTTTTACTCTCACTAACACCTTGGTGCGGTGCAAGAATACCATAACAGCTTAAAGAAAAACTGAAAGACTCTACCTCCTTGGATTTTTCAGTGGAATGTTGAGTCTAAATATATCACTGAATCAACAATCAACACAGTATAAAAGGAGCCTTCTTGCATGACCATCTCAGTTTGCAGATGTTAATCCTATAAAATCTGTGTGGGTGGTGATCTGTAGAGAAATGACAATGTACAGAGATTATGTGAAGAGGAAAGGGCAAAGTGAGATCATGCCACTGCAATAAAATGTGAATTTCTGTGAGAGCCAGCAGACAGAGGTTTGTGATATATTTGATGAGGATTGCTGGCTTCAGGCTGAACATCTGATCTAAGGGGACAGAAAGCCACATTTTGAGTTTCTTCTCTCCCACCCTGCTGTCTTTGTTGCCTAATGTGATACAAAGCAGCAGACATAACATGGCAGGTAGTTGGCAGGCAAACCCTCTGTAACACCCTTCAGCTCTATAAAGTGGGAGAGTTTTTTTGTTTTTTTTTCAAACACATTTCCCCTCTCATGTATCCTCAGGTACTCTTCAAGATGGTCCTGGGTAGTGCCAAATTTGGAGAGGCTGCACTCTTCCTGAGCATTGTCGGAAGCGCCAACTTTGTTTTCATCAGCTTTGTGCCAGTAATCCTGTATTTTACTCATGTGGAGTACACTGGCTCACCTGCAGATATCCCCTGGGCCTACCTCTGCGGAGTAGCAGCCTTGCTTTTTGGTAACAAGACAAATATGAGATTTTCATGCAAAACTAAGAGTTCTCCTTCACATTCTCAATGCGGAACGTATTTGTAAGATGTTTTCTCCCAACAGCTTTCAACATCCTAGTGAACTTCGGCATTGCGATAACATACCCAACATTAATTTCCCTCGGCATTGTCCTAAGTGTCCCTGTGAATGCCAGTAAGTGCCTCAACCTTTCATCCAGTCGTGAATCTTCAGATTTGATTACATTTTAAAATGTTGTGCGTTTGGAGTTCATAAATATACTCTTAATGCCAGTTTAAGTGCCAGCGATATGTTTATATACATGTGTAGCTGTTAATTAACATTTACTGATTTTATTGACGCACTTGTACCACACCTTCCACTAAAGAAACGTTAAAACAGGTGATGAAAGAGTCCGCTTAGTGGACCAATCAGGTACTACAGTAATATGTGTCAATGCGGTGTCCTCGTCTATGGTGTAGTCCTCCGTAGACATTAACATTTTGAGGGGGAAAAAAACCAAACAGCAGAAATTTGTGGAAGTTGATGCAAATACATGCTTACAGTCCTGCATTAACACATTCTTGTTTGATTTCCCAGTGGTTGACCTCTACACCTGTGACATCAATTTCAACACGGTGCGCCTGATTGCTGTGTTCATCATCTGCCTGGGATTCCTCATGCTGCTGCTGCCAGAGGACTGGGACCAGTGTATCATCCGGCTCACTACAAAGCTGCGTAAACGGGACGAACCGGCAGAAGTTGCCGGGGAGACGGGCGCCAACGCAGGCCTCAACTGGAGAGGGAGAGGCAGGAGCTCCCTGTCAACATACGCACGTTGACTCCATTATAACTAAACGGGGAACATTAACACATCTGATCTGGCTAGTGGCCTACATTGTGTTTCGCGAAGCTACCATAGGTTTGGACTGTGCTGTGATCAGACAATTCAACAAAGGGAGAGAGATACCAGAGCCTCAGAATCCATAGGAATTAAAAAAATTTTTCGGTTTTTTTTTTTTTTTTTGTTTTTTTTTTTTTTTACTTAAAAACGGTATCAACTATGACTAAAGTCTCACTGTTGCGGAACCTTTAAATTCTTCTAATTATTCATCATATCCTTAAAAAAGACTTGCCAGCTTGCCTGATCAATTCCAGTAACAAAAAGAAAGAAAGAAAGAAAGAAAGAAAGAAAGAAAGAAAGAAAGAAAGAAAGAAAGAAAGAAAGAAAGAAAGAAAGATGACAGGTTCGCATTGACTCACATTTTGATCCAAAGAAAAATGCCTGAGAACAAAAGAAATCCCTTCCTGCCTTTTGTGTACTGTACATAGCTATATTTCATACCTTGGAAAGCCCGGAGAGTTGTGGACCTAATAGGCTCATTTGGTGTGAGGAGATCTGTCTTATCATCTGAGGATCAATTGGCGCTAAAAACACATCCTTTCAAAACGCCTTTCTTTTGGATTAGCACAGAAGAGCTACTTTTAAACTCCATCCTGTGGGTCTGGGCTTTCATGGGGTTAATCTTCCACAATCATTGCTCACATGCCGATATGGCCAACATGAAAGTGTCTTGGAAAAAAAATCGAAATTTTTTCCACATTTTGCCAAATTACAACCACAAGAGGGGGTTCATTTGTGTTCTGACACTCCCTGATTCAATACTCTACAATACTAAGGCTTTCCAGCGTAACCCAAACTCAGTCACACTGAGTTTTCCCTGGCCCTTGAATTCCCATGGCCCTTCAGATTATGGGAATTGTGTTTCCAGGGTGATGCATAGTGCTTGCGCCAGCAGTGTATCCTTTTCCCTTCACCTACCAATAATGTGCTACTTTATTTTTATCTATAACATAAAATCCCAATAAAATATATTGTGGTTGGAATTTGACAAAATGTGGAAAGGTTCTAGAAATAAGAATACCTTCGCAAGGGACTGTATTTAAACCAGTATATTCTCATTCAGTGCATGAGATACACAAAGTTTAGTTGCTAGATATATATGTGCTTCAAGAAACCCAGACAATAGGTTTGGTTAAAAGCTTACTTTCAAACCAGCAGCCAAAATGAAAACTAACCAGTTATTAAATCTGAACATGAACAAAAGCAATCCCCGAGCTTCTTGATATAACACATTACACCTTTTAGACTTTTAGGCTGTCCTATAGAGCTACGACAGTTTTGTTTCTGGAGAAAACAACAGATGGTAAAAATCTATCTCACTGTGACTTTAGGAGAGAGTTTATAAAACATGGCTTGGATTTTCTCCAGCTTTTCTACAAAAGTAAAGTATATCATTTTGATCTATTTTCAGTGACCATATTTCAAACATTCGCATCTTTTGGGAAAAGGTAAACAGGAGAGCAAGTGAGGCCCTCGCCTTGTGAAGCGACACGCGTGAACTCTGCCTTGTTGTGAATGTATGAATATCACACTACACACGCTCATTATGAGCTGCTCTGTTTAATACAGTGCTACCAGACTGCTGCAGAGAGATACACTTTATTACGACTCTCCTTGTCCTCATCTGGATGAGTTATTGCTTTTTTTTTGTGTGTGTGCGAGGGAACAATGTCTTGATGTATTGCTGAAAACTTTTTATATCGCTTTTTGCATTCATTTGCTGACTCACCTCAAGGACCTGTCGGAGAAAAAAAAAATCTGACGACAGATAACCACAGAACGAGCATGTGCGTACCAGCTGAAATGTCCACTTCACTGCATTATTTTTATTTTTTATTTTTTTTGCAATACAGTACATTTAGCACTGTTTCCCATTGTCATTTTCTATGGCAATAAATAATTATATTGTATTCCTCTGGAATTAACGCAAGACTTAAATGTAAACCTTTGTAAGGAATGATTTTTACACTAAGATGATGCAACATATAGTTATATCACTTCTGAGGAGGAAATATTTAGAGCGTGAATAAATGATGGATTTGTTAGATATGCTACTGAGTGTCTTCAAGTGTAATCACATGATGTAAGATATAAAAAGATTTGTTTTTGATAAATTTTCTTGACCAGGTTTGTTCTTCCTTAGCTTTCTGCTGTGGTTCAATAATTAAGGTAAAAAAGGTATAGCTAAAACAACAAAATAATATTTTGACATATTTCCATGATTATTTTTAGTAATTTTTTTTTTTTTTTTTCCCCCTAAAAAAATTCTGAAATGACACTATAAGAGGAAATTGAGCAAAACTTACTTTGGATTTTAGACGGTTGTCTTAGTTGAACAAGATAAATTACAATGCAAGCTTTATCATTTTCGGACAATTTTTTCGCCATCACAATCATTCAAGTGGAAGTCAATGATGTAATCAGTAATGTAATTGACTTTAGCGCAACTGTAGCGCAGTTGCATTTTGAAAAGAGACCCAAAATACAGTTCTGTCCATGTTGTTGCCAACACAATCATGGGAAAGACTGCTTCCTTTACAGTTGTGCAGCAGTCACTGAATCCCATCATAAGGAGGGTACACAAAAAGAAGCTGCCTCTTCACAACTTGCATGCACCAGCGTAACCTCATTCTTGAGAGGATTATAAAACAGTAAGTTGTTTCAAGACTCTACATTCATCCAGGCTACAACTTCTGTATTTCTTCTTTTCATTTCTGAATTTAAATTTATCAGCTCCTTAGGAAATCCTAGCTCAAATCATGGCAAAGGTGGAGAAACACAGAGTCTATGTTGCTTGAGGGGCAGTGTGAAGTTGTCACAGTCAGTAATGAATGGAGGAACTGTCATCTTCCTATGTTGGTCTAATGTTTTTTTTTTCTTTAATCAAGTTCAAAGTTAGTGTAGCCCGATAACCTGGTAACTTTAGAGCACATCAGAATTCCCTCCGCTGATAAACTCAATACTGCTAACACTGCTAAAAGTACCAACATCTGGTTTAATGAACATGGTATTCCTGATTAATTGGCAAGCAACTCAACCTAAACCCCAAAGTTTGTTGTCAAGAGTAAGATTGATGCAAACAAACTGAAGGCTGTTATTACATCAACTTGGTTTTCCTTAAGGCCTTACAGCAGATCACCTCCCTTCCACAGTGCAATGATGCAGTAAGTCACGCAAGACCAAGCTCTGAGTGCATTTAATACAAAGTACATGGATAGACTTTTCAGTACAAAGTCATTTCAATATTTTAAAAAAATCCTTTCTTCTTGGCTTTGGGCACTAATATATTTTCAGAGAAACTGAGCTTTGGGTTTTACACACTAAACAGATTTTAATTTAGAAATGTCAACGCATCAGTATGTCTTTTAGAACTGAACTACTGAAACAAATGTCCTTTTCAATAATATTCCAGTTTATTAAGAATCAACAGTAAATAACTAACAGACATCATGCTCCACTGTCACTGTGACCTGGCCATAGAAAAAAGTGGCCTGCCGCTCCTTAGTAAGAGCGGAGAACGGAAGTCTGCTGCCCTCTTGAGGACGAGAAGGGACCTGCAGATTGTGTGTCTTCTCGCGAGCAGCATCCTGAAACACAGAGGGGGAGTTTTCATGGTGGCACACGTTACAAAGATACACCCCAGAGTGGCTTTTGAAGTCGGTGCTAACAGTGAGAACAGAGGAGGAGAGCTTTGAGTTGTCACAGTTCAAACTCTCTGTGCTGGCATGTGTACTGGGATGGGCTGTGGTCAACGTGCATGGGTCAGTAATTCTGACGTCATCCCCATCTCCTCTGACCTCCCATTCTGTGCCAAACAGGCTGCACAGATGAGCTCTAATTCTGTGCCAGAGTCCCCGAAGAGCAATCTGGAAGCGCTGGCTAAGCAGAGCGTACAACAAAGGATTGACGTCAGAGTTGAGCAACATCAGCCAGTAGGAGAAGGTGATGGCAGAGTCTGGCACAAGGCTGGACTGGCCCGTAATGGCAGTTTCTGTGGCCTGAACCAGAGCCACACATATGTAGGGTGTCCAGCAGAGGAGGAAAGCGGAGATGATCAGGACGAGGCGCAGTGCTCCGTGATGCGGCTGCTGGTGGTTCGGATCGGACGGCTGAGAGTTTTTCTGAGCCAGGATGGAAAGTAAACCCCTCACTTTGCTTTCCTGCTGTTTTGCAGCTTCCCGACCAGCCTGGCTGATGTTCTCTCCCTGTTTACTGGTTTGAGACTCAAATTCATTGTTCATGTGACATGTGACGCTCCAGGGTCTATGGAGGTTCCTGCAGTTCTGGTGGGATGAATCCGCTGGACAAGAGGGGGACCTGCTGCGCTGGACGGAGTCCTGCAGGGAGTGAATCCTCCGGGCATGGCTGCGTGCCACCCTAATTATGTTCGCATAGCAGAAGAGGATCACCACTGCAGGCATGAGATAGATCAGAGCGGCCATGAAGGCCGTGTAGCTGACAGTGCTGGCCCAGGTGATTGCACAGTTATACATGGGGACCACGTAGCTGACAGAGCTCCAGCCCAGCAGAGGAGGGCTGCAGATGACCAGAGCCTGAAGCCAGATCCACAGGACCACAGCAGAAGTCCTCCACAGGGTGCAGCGGGAACTGTAGCGCAGGCAGTCCATGATGGAGAAATAGCGGTCCAGAGCAATAGCAGCCAGTGTGAGCACAGAAACTGTGCAGTACACAGTGGAGGAGTACCCAACATATAGACAGAGAACCTGGCAGGGGAGACGGTGTTAATGGATCACTAAAGGTCACCTAAACCAAAAAAAAAAACAAAAAAAAAAAAAAACATAATGCAACAGGACAGAAAATGCTTACAGGACAACGCACCCATCCCGTGTTTATGATGGACATAGCAACAAAAGGCATGACTCCAATGCCTACCAGGAGGTCACTGACGGCTAGGTTCAGGATCAGGATAGACGTCACTGCATGGAGGGTCTTGGTAGCCGCTACAATAACGATGACAAGAACATTGCCTGCACAAAAACACATCGTAGAGATTCAAACCCCGACTCAGAGGCCATGTTGGCTGGACTTTAACCAGCAATACAAAGAAAACAAAAAACGAAAGAAAAGCAAAAAACAAAAAAGTTTAGAAATCATCCCAAACTGTAGAAGCACAATTCTGCCTCTTTGATAATATATATATGTGTTTCTGACCTGATAACGATGAACTTATTATTAACGAGGTGCTGGTGCTAATAAAGACAGGCCAGCTGATATCACTCTGTCAACCAGATGAAATCAGAGG